GCTCCAGGCGGGGAAGACAATGGTTTGTCAACCATGGGTAGGCTACAACTTCAGCTAATGGTGTTTGTTTAAACTTCCCTGGGTTAACATATATGTAACCTTCACAAATTTTACACTTTGAAATTAGCCTTAGAATTTTAAAATCTTAACCCAATAAAATAACCTTTGGTTCTGAGTAACACAGAGCCTACACAGAGCACAGACAGAGGGCTTTCTATGTTCACAAAGACAGTGAAGAGCAAACTAAGCTAGCAAAGCAATCAGTAACCAAGGTACATCACAGACAAAGAGACTCTCAAGATTCAAACCCTGCCACATGTTCAGACTATCCACAAACAGCTGGGCCCCAGCAAGGTGGGACGTGCCCTACCTTTAAACATTGATTCAACCATCAATAGAAACATTCTTATACACAATATTTACAAGTTCGCACAATCCACTGACACTCGACAAAGCACTCCGTTAAAAAGCAATGTCTCGAAGGAAACCAAGATGGCAGCATAGGTAAACACCGGAAATTGCTGCCTCGCACAACCACTTCAAAAATACAACTAAAAGACAAAAAGGACACCATCCAGAACCACAGGAAGGCTGTCTGAGTGGAAATTCTACAACTAGAAGGTAAGAGAAAAGCACACTGAGACTCAGAGGAGGTGCAGAAGTAAAGTGCAGAGGTACAGAGGCGCACACAGAAAGGGCTGGCAACTGAGGACACGGTTATCTTTTTCAATCAGGAGGGAGACACAAGCTCCTGGCCCAGAACTCCAGTTCCGGGCGGGTCTCTGGGGACCCAGACTCATACGGGGAGAAACTGGACTGTCTGGCATCGGTTGGAACTTGAGGGCAGCTTTCTCTCAGAGGTGCTTACAGCGAATACTGAGGAACACTGAGACCCGGGGCCTCTTAGGGCATAACTGAGGATCAGCCATAGTTGTTTGCCCTGTTGATTCCCTGAGACCCCACCCAACGCGAGCTGTGCTCAGAGGCTTTTGCATATGAATGACCTGGCCCTTTGTAATCTAAAATTACCTCACAAACTGCAGCTGGGTCAGAGAGACCCAGAACATCCAAAAGAAGGCCCAAGGCCCCATAGCAGCTTGCATTGCTTCACAGCTGGGCCTCATCTGGGCACCTCCAAACCCCAAACAAAGAAGAGGAATCTGAAGATCTCTCCATAGCTCCTGCTGGGTAGCCTCAGGAAGAGGCTAAATTAGCACCTCCTTAGAGATCCAAGAGCCAGTGTACCCAGTGGTCAGAGTGGGACCATCCAATTACAACTCCTCAGATCCATAAGGGACACACTCAGGAGGCAGACTCAGCACCAAAGCCCCACTGAAGCAAGTCTTGCCCCAGAAGGGTGTCTCTAGCACAGAAGTTCTCCCACAGTAGACACAGCTGATTCTCACAGCCAATTGTCCTGGAGGTCAATTCCTCCCAGTGATACCTAAAACAATCAAGGCTTAAGTACAATAAGACTGTGCACATAGCCCACAAAGGGGTGCACCAAGAGTGTCCACCTCAGGTAATTGGGGAGGTTGAGCCACTGGGCCCTATAGGACACCTAGCACAGAAAGCCACTCTATCAACACAGGGAAGCAGCCAAAATGAGGAGACAAAAAAAGGGTCACAAATGACGGAAATGGAGGAAAGCAAACTACTGGATATAGAGTTCAAAACCACGGTTATAAGGTTTTTCAAGAATTTTCTAGAAACCGCTGATAAATTTAGGGAGACCCTCGATAAATCTAGTGAGATCCTCGAGGATATGAAAAAGGACCAACTAGAAATTAAGCATACACTGACTGAAATAAAGAATATTATACAGAGATCCAACAGCAGACTAGAGGATCCCAAGAATCAAGTCAAAGGTTTGAAATACAAAGAAGCAAAAAACATCGAACCGGAAAAACAAAAAGAAAAAAGAATCCAAAAATATGAAGATAGTGTAAGGAGTCTCTGGGACAACTTCAAGCGTACCAACATCCGAATTGTGGGGGTGCCAGAAAAAGAGAGAAAGCACGACATTTAAAACCTATTTGAAGAAATAATGACAGAAAACTTCCCCTACCTGGTGAAAGAAATGGACTTACAAGTCCAGGAAGCACAGAGAACCCCAAACAAAAGGAATCCAAAGAGGACCACACCAAGACACATCATAATTAAAATGCCAAGGGCAAAAGACAAAGAGAGAATCTTAAAAGCAGCAAGAGAAAAACAGTTACCTACAAGGGAGTACCCATAGGACTGTCAGCTGATTTCTCAATAGAAACTATGCAGGCCCGAAGGCAGTGGCAAGAAATATTCAAAGTGATGAATAGCAAGAACCTACAACCAAGATTACTTTACTCAGCAAAGCTATCATTCAGAATTGAAGGTCAGATAAAGAGCTTCACAGATAAAAAAAAAAAAGCTAAAGGAGTTCATCACCACCAAACTAGTATTATATGAAATGCTGAAAGGTATCCTTTAAGAAGAGGAAGAAGAAGAAAAAGGTAAAGATACAAATTATGAACAACAAATACACATTTATCAACAAGTAAATCTAAAAATCAGGTGAATAAATAATCTGATGAACAGAATAAACTGGTGATTATAATAGAATCAGGGGCATAGAAAGGGAGTGGACTGTCAATTCTCAGGGTGGGGGGGAAAGGGTGTGGGGGGTGCGGGAAGAGACTGGACAAAAATCGTACACCTATGGATGAGGACAGTGGGGGGGGGGGTGGTAAGGGCAGAGGGTGGGGTGGGAACCAGGTGGAGGCGAGCTATGGGGGGAAAGAAGAGGAACAACTGTAATAATCTGAACAATAAAGATTTAATTAAAAAAAAAAAAAAAGCAATGTCCCTTGCCCCTGGTTTGGGGAACTGATCCTCCCAGAACCTCAATATTTTTCCAATGGACTATTTTGACCATGTGGCTTGCCTGGTTGCCTCGCATATACTCCCCTTGTGTCATTTTCACCATTTTCTAAAGAAAAACCGTCTTGGGCCTATTCTATAGCATCCACGAAGAGATTGGGCTCAGGCCAAGAGGCCAACCAAAATCAGGTGGGGTGTGAACCCTTGAACTAGCCTTTCCCTCTACATGGGTATAGAGAGTCCCAGAAGCATCCCTAATTTGTGAGAAATGGCTCACCTATCCAAATTTCAAATGAGGGACTGGGAAATAAAAACATGGTGAAAATGAGACTTTTAAGAACACTCCTGAGAGTGTGCAACCATTTTACAGAATCACAATAAAGGTGAGAGGCTAACTTAACAGCTGTGCCTGGCTGTAATGCTGAATTCTCTAAAAGGCTAAAACTTCTACTGGGTGGTGGCAGAAGTGGCTAAGGGCTGTGATTAATTCCTATTATGCCTGATGGAAAGATCTAGAGTCACACTCGTATGCCAGGAGTGGGGAAACAGCTGGTCCCCCATTTCTTAACTCTCACCTAGAAGTTTTTCCCCCAGTACCCTTACTATAAAGGCCTGCACAAATGGAGACTGAGGAGTTAAGCTTAGTGGGATCTGGACTGCGGATGCAGTGGTTTTGGCTGGATACTATTTGAACTGACTGAGGTAGAAAGCAGAAGAAAAAGGCAGATGAAAGGAGCAGTGAAGGAAAGAGAGAAATGCCCGCTTTAAAGATGACAGCCAAGTTTAAGTGCTGGCAGGCATCCGTCAGTCTCCAAAGTTATACAAGAGACAGAAAAGGCAGAGGGACAGACTCTCTGGCTACTCACCATTCAACATGAAGAGGGTTGACTGACTTACTGAGAAATTCCTGGCCAACGCACCATTTGAAACAGAATTTTTGGACTGGAACCTGGATTCTTTGTCCACTGGAGTCGAAGAACAGAATGGACTCTTTCCCTCTCCCCTTGTGTGAGTCTGTACTTGTTCTTCAATAAATTTCCACCTTTGCTATACTGCCCTCTGTCTGTGGAATCATTCTTCGACTCTGGCAGACAAAGAATCTGGGTTCCAGTCCAAAAATTAAGTTTCAGTGGAGGCCAAACCTGCAAAACAAGTATGTGCCCTTGATCAGGAATCAAACCCATGACCCTTCAGTGCATGGGCCAACACTCTAACCACTGATCAACACTGGCAAGGTCCCCTTTTCTTTAGATGCCTCTTCCTCATTCTTTTATTAGATAAACAGTTACACATGTCAATTGTCTGGCACCAATTCATCTCCAACAGGAATCCCCAATTAAGGGTGTGGTGAAAAAGGAAACGTTTTTTCGTGCAGAACAGCTAAAGTGTGATATAGCACAGCTATGAGAATAGCACCACTGTGAGGCAGCCTTAGGGCCAGGCAGGCCTAGGGCCAGCCCCTCTGCAGCAGTCAGCTCCAGACTAGGGAGGGGGAGATGCAGTCTTGAGTTCCAGTGGAAAGGGAAAGATTCCTTTCAGAGCCAGAGGGGAGCTGGCTATATGGACAGAAGTCTCCACCTCTGGTCCCTAATTAGTCTGTTGTCATGCAAATTAGGACTTCAAATCCTCACAGTTTGGTCCAAAAGGCACAGTTCTGATGGGTCAGAACAGAGCTGCTCTGGTTGATTGTAGGTGCCACAACTCTGATTGGATGGGAAAAGCCTCAGTCCTATTGGTTGAAATAGGATTCCAGGAACTCCCTTATAAGGGCTTGCTCAGATAGCAGGAACACAGTTCAGTGCAGGCTTCTTCCTGAAGTGCAGTTTGCAGTAAGAGACCTCTGTGTAGAAATGCCTTCTAAGCACTTTGTTTTTTAAGTTTGAGCCACCAGGAGCCCTTCTTAGTTGGCATCTTCTTTCTCAGCGATCTCACACAGAAAAAACCACCCCTCAATACTAATACTTTGTGCCACTCACCTGCCAAACTGGCCTCCTCTCCATCCACTGACCTTGCCAGTGGCAATGGGGACAGGAAAGGAAAGCCCGTTACCCAGAGACCCCTCCCTCCTCCGCTCCTCTCCCCACAACTGTGGGCTGCCTGACTGCCTGAGGCGGGAAGGAAGCCTGCGGTTTGTGCACCAGGCCTCCCTCCCAAACCCTCCCTCCCCCAGGCGAGCTGTTTCACTTCCTCCCGAACTCCCCTCAGGCAGGAGTATCTCAGTGCCCCACAGCCTTCGCCATGGCTGATACATATGCGGTGGTGCAGAAGCGCAGGGCTACTTCTGGCCCCGGGTCAGGGTCTGGGGCATGCAGCACGGAGGGGGCACCGCTCTACAGCCATGTGACGCCAGGCACCCGCTGGCCGCAGGCACCCACAGAGGAGGGGGCACAACTGGGCGGTGGTGAGTTGACAGGCCGGGGGAGGGGTTGGGGAGGGCCGGCCCCATCTCCTCCTGGGGACCCCCACAGCTGGACCCTCTGCCCCAGGCAGATCTGGCCACCGCCTGGCTGCTGGTCACGACCGGAAGTGTCCCAGGCCAAACCACAGGGCCTGCACTGGGTGCGCTTCTCCGGAAGTCACCTTGTTTGAGCAGAGGTCTGGGACCTGCCCCCTCCTCCCTTCTCCCTCATTCCCACCCCCACCCTCTACGGGAGCCCATGCGTGAAGACTGGTTTCCTGCCTGCAGTTCCTGCTGACCCGAGCCCTGCTGGGCCTGGCACATACGAGGACGTGGCTGGTGGATCTCAGACCAGTGGTCTAGGTAAGTCAGACAAAGCCCAAGTTTCTGGGACTCTGCAGCTTTGGCTGAATTCCAGAAGTTTGGTGTTTTAAGGATGGCGGCATGGGGCTCTGGGCCTCGGAGTTCTGTGGATGGGGCTGCAGTGAACCAGGAGAGTCTGAAGGCTTGAAGATGGCTGTACCTAAGTTGCTTACCTCTCCACATCTTAACTTCTCCCTGAGACACATGGTGCCCTTCCTTTCCCAGGTTTCAACCTGCGCATTGGGAGGCCTAAAGGGCCCCGGGACCCTCCTGCGGAGTGGACCCGGGTGTGAATGCTGCGCCCAGCCTGCCTGCTACCCCACATGGGTGCCTGGACTGCTGAAGGTTGTGCTCTGCTTTGTGAAGTGTTGGGAATGGAAACACTGGGCCTGGATCAAAATAAAATTTCTCAGAGTGGGAAAAGTGGGGGTTTTGTCCCAGTAACTATAGCATTCAAGGCTTGAGGTGGTAGCTGGGAGATAATGATTGGTGAGACTGAACTGGGTAGTTCAAGAATGAACATTAGGGATGGGTTCAACCCCAAGGGCCCCCCAGTTGTGAAGGGGAGGATGAACAGATAGGCTTCTGGAGACTGCCCCCATCACCACATAATAGACCAGTTCATCTCAGTATCTAAGCCTCCCTTCCTCAGACATTCAGCTGTTGATACAGAAAGATGGATGGACCTTGAGAAAGACTATCCCCCACTATTCAGACAGATCCAAGCTAGGCATGACAATAGTCAAGTAGGCTTATTTTATTTTTTAATATATATTTTTATTGGTTTCAGAGAAGAAAGGAGAGGGAGAGAAAGACAGAAACATCAACGATGAGAGAATCATTGATCGGCTGCCTCCTGCATGCCCCCTACTGGGGATTGAGCCTGCAACCCTGGCATGTGCCCTTAACCAGAATTGAACCTGGGACCCTTCAGTCCACAAGCCAATGCTCTATCCACTTAGCCAAACCAGCTAGGGCAAGTAGGATGATTTTAAACAGGTGAAAAGATCTTCAGATGAGTAGAGAAGAGAGGGAGATCCCCAAGCTGGACAGGCAGATAGCCATACCAGTAGACTTTCAGAGGGACAGTTCACACAGCTGGATGGACACATAGGCATCCTCTTAGCTAGCCAGATATGCCCTCCCCCTGGTGGGCAGACAGACTCCCAGCTAGCTAGATGGATTCCCAGCCAAATAGACAACAGTCACATCGACCCTTCAATACACAGATACCCCAATCAGCCGGCTAGACTCACAACCAGGCAGATAGGTGGACCTCCAGACAGGTGAACAAACTCCACTAAGTCACCAACTACACAGAACCCACATTTTGGCAGACAAATTGCGGTACCTCCTGATGGGAAGACAATCAGGTCAACTCCCAGGCAGTCAACATGAGCATCATGAGCCAGACAGAATCCTTACTACCTCCCAGCTAGGCATACATTGTAGATCAGCAGATCCTTCAAACAGACTTCCTACTAGCCAGAGGGACCTCCAGCCCCTCAGAAAAATAGGACTCCAATGACCCTTAATTGGACAGATGGACTCCCATTTCTACAGTGAGACTATCCTCAGCCAGAGAGATAAGTGGACTTCAAGCCAATTGGTTAGTTAAATTCCAAACTAGACAGTCAACTCAAACCAGATGAATGGGTGGACCCTCATCTGGACAGATGACTGATCTCTAGTAAGTCAGATCCTATTTAGAAAGAGCCCAGCCAGAGAGAAAGACCCTCCCCAACCAGACTGTTTCCTTGCTGTTCACACAGACCCCTGGCCAGATAGATCCCCAACCCTTGAGTAGATGGACACATTGTCATCTTGGCAAACAAATCTGTATCCAGCAAGACAGATCTCTAGCCTTATAGACAAATAGACTGACCCAGACAGACATACCAGCTCCTAGCCAAACAGACTCATGAACCTCCAAGTAGATTGATTCAACTGGAAAAATGAGCTCCAGATAGACTGACTCCCAGCTTATAAGACCCTCAGACAAACCCCTATGTGTGTAGACATGCAAACCTCTGGCCAGAAAGACAACAGACACCCCTCCACCCCACCCCACTCCTCCATCTAGACAGGTAGACACTCAGGAAGCCAGACAAATCTTTATCTGTACACATAGATAGATGACTCACCCAGCCAGGAAACAGTTTCCCATCCAGATCTTTAAGCTGGCCAGCACTGCAGGTAAATAGAAAGACAAGAGTAAATATACTTGATGCTCTAAAATCCTGCTTCTGCTCTGTGAGATGTCCTTACCATGTGATCTTCCCAACACTGTCTATCTGACAATGCCATGTTCATCCAGGCAGACTCCCAGCTATCTCTCCCCAACACAGTACCCTGTCCAGGTTATTGAAAAGCTGTCCTGTGTCTGTGATGAGCATGGACCATTAAAGCCTTCACCTGCCACTTGCCCATACAGACCCACATAGCTAACACTAACTGTTTAGTATGTACATGGACTGAGTCAGTGATCTTCAGAACAACTTCACAATAAAGGTGACGAGAAAAATTCTGAGGTGTGCTAAATTAAATTACTGCAGGCAGGAGAGTGAGAGAAAAAACAAGAGTATTTAGCCAGCTGTGGGCTAACTAACAATAGAGTGCTCACATTCCTGAATGTACCTTGGAGCTTTGAATCAACTTCAGGGGGTTATCTGAAAAGAAGTAATGGACCACTAGACATCGCAACATACTGCTTATGCATGAACTTGCAGAACTTGTCCAGCACCAATCAAAAGTGGTAAATATTTCTTCCTTAAGGACTGTACATCTATTCTAGAACTGCCCCGTTCACCTTCTCCCACCGCCTTATCTGTAGCCAACATAAATTCTTTCAAAACAAGTTACATCTTTCTTCCCTGAAACATCCTATCTAATAAAAGAGAAACATGGTAATTGGTGTACGACTGCTACCCTTCCCATTGGCTAATCAGGGCAATATGCAAATTAACTTCTAGCCAAGATGGCGGGCGGCAGCCAGGCAGCTTGAAACTAACATGAGGCTTGCTTGCTTCAGTGACGGAGGACTCCAACGTTCCCCGCCTGCCGCTGCAGGCCTCTGAACTGAAACTCTAAGCAACTATGTAACAAATATAGAAGCTAAATAAAACCCCAGAAACCTGCTTTAGTCACTGGGCTTCAGCCAGCAGGATCACAACATTGTAAGCAAAGGCCAGAAACCTACTTTCAGCAGCGGAGGCCTAAGAGCTGGAGCCAAACCTCAAAGCTAAAGCTGGCCCAGAATAAAAAGAAAAAAAAAGAAAAAAAGGAGCAGTTGGGAGCTTCAGTCACCCCCAGCCTGAAAACAGCCCTCAGCCCCTCATCAAGACTGGCCAGGCACCCCAGTGGGGACCCCCACCCTGAAGGTTGTGTGACCAGCTGCAAACAGCCATCATCCCCTCACCCAGGCTGGCCAGGAACCCCAGGGGGACCCCCACCCTGATCCAGGACACCCTTCAGGGCAAACCAGCCAGCACCCACCCATGCACCAGGCCTCTACCCTATATAGTAAAAGGGTAATATGCCTCCCAGCACCGGGATCAGCGGAGCCGCGAGGCCTCCCGGCACCGGGATCAGGGTGACAGGGGGCAGCGCTCAAACCCCCTGATTGCCCTGCGGCTCTGTGTGTGACAGGGGGCGGGGCCACAACCTCCCTATCCACCCTGCTCTGTTCGTGACAGGGGAAGGCGCCCCAACCCCTGATCAGCCCTGCTCTGTGCCTGATAGGGGGGAGCTCCCCAACCCCCTGATTGCTCTGCGGCTCTGTGTGTGACAGGGTGCGGCGCCCCAACCCCCTGATCGGCCCTGCTCTGTGTGTGACAGGGTGCGGCGCCCCAACCCCCAACCCCCTCCACGGGCCCTGCTCTGTGTGTGACGAGGTAGAGCCATAACCTCCCCATCGGCCCTGCCTTGAGTGTGAGAGTGGCGGTGCCCCAACCCCCTGATCAGCCCTGCTCTGTGGGTGATAGAGGGCGGCGCCCTAAACCCCATGATGGACCCTGCTCTGTGCTTGACAGGGGGCAGCGCCTCAACCCCCTGATTGGCCCTGCTCTGTGCGTGACAGGGTACAGAGCCCCAACCCCCCTGATGGGCCCTGCTCTGTGCATGACAGGGGGCGGCGCCCAAACTCCCCAATTGGCCCTGCTCTGAGCCCAACCAGGGGCTGCACCTAGGGATTGGGCCTGCCCTCTGCCACCCAGGAGCAGGCCTAAGCCAGCAAGTCGTTATCTCCCGAGGGGTCCCAGACTGCGAGAGGGCACAGGCCGGGCTGAGGGACCCCACCCTCCTCCGAGTGCACAAATTTTTGTGCACCGGGCCTCTAGTCTATATATATAAAAAGCCAGTGACTATAATGCCATAATGGCCAGAATGACCGGTTGCTATGACGTCCACTGTGGCCAGCGAACCCACCTGATGGGGGGGCAGAGCCTGCAGCCCCTCTCCCCGGCTGGCCCTACCCCTGATCGGCCTCTCCCACCCCAATCGAGGTCAGGGCAGCTGGCCAAACCCCCCAAGGCCCTTCCTCCTTGCCCTCCCAGGTGCCCCATCCCTGATTTCCCCCCATCCCAATAGGGGGCAGGGCTGCCCAGCCAATCTCCTGAGCTCCTCCTCCCACCTGGCCCCACCCCAGATCGGCCCCCCAAACCCAATCAGGGGTGGGGCCGGCTGGCCCACCACCTACAGCCCCTCCCTACAGCTGGCCCTGCCTGCCCTCAATCAGCCACTCACCCCAATCGGGGGTGGGCCCACTGGCCAATCACCCTTGGCCCCTCCCCCCAGCCGGCCCTGCCCCAATCCACACTGATTGGGGCTGGGCTGTCCGGACCCCACCCGTGCATGAATTTGTGCACTGGGCCTCTAGTAATATATAAAAGAGTTCATCAACTCCAGGACAGAAGATATATTGTCTTCCCCCTCTAGCTATGCTGCTGGTGGTTTAGACTGCATGCTCCAGAACCTGTCCTTTTGGGGCTAACATTTGGCTCAATAAACCCTTTCTTTCAGAAAAGACTTCAGGCATAAAAGGTTTTCTTTAACGGAGATAATTTTCTTATCCCCACTTTATTTAGCCCAGGAAATTATTCTGATATTTCAAAAGTTTAATATCCTAGATGCAAAAAGACAATAGACAGACTCAGTTAAGGTAAAAATTGACCTCTGTCAAGGGAGATACTGGCCTAGGACATGACTACTCCCCATGACTCACTTTTAGTTAGGAAGTTTTAATTTCAGACCATCCTATGTGGTTAGGAAATTTCAGGGGGGTTGAGAGCTGGGAGCCAGGAACTGTAGACAAAGAACAAAATATGTATTATAGATCACAACATATCACATACCTAGCAATGTAAAAGAAGTATTTGACTTTAACCCAATCTTAGAAATTTCCCCACTTTACTTTCTCCCATCTCCCTAATCTACCACCAGTAAATTTAATGTAACCTTCCTTTTGCCTCCATCTTTCATTATAATG